AAGGACACATGGCACAGTGGAAAAGGCGTTGGTTAGATCCAGTGACAGGACCCAAAGAGTGTGAGTTCAATACCCGGTTAAGGCAGTGGAGAACTTTCAAAGGGAAATTAGCAGGAGATAACTGATAACTGACATCCATCAAAAACATGACACGTGGAACTAGAACAGTCTACCCCAGTGAGCGAAATAAAGGGTTCAGTTCGAAATTCCAACCACCTGAAGAAGGCCGGAGCGTACAACGGCCGAAACGTTGTGATAAATATGGCGACAAAGATGAAGACATTAGTCCGAATAATGTAAATAATGTACATAATACCTCATCTCAGAAATACAGACAGACTCTGCAGTTCATTTTCTTTCCATTTTCGCTTCTAGCGTAAAACCATTTAAAATTCACACCTGATACACCTGAATTCTATAGAAAGAGGTGTTGGAATGTCACCTTTCAGATATTGTTCTACCTTTCGCCTGATATTCTTTCCCTTTCTCTGTCGATTTCTTATCTTCTATTTTTTACCTTCTGCATCCTTTCTTTCTGCTCTCATCCTCCCCATCGCTTTTCCTAATCAATTCATGCTTAATATTATGGTATGGTATTAAGCAGACGCTACATTCTGATCCTAGGTAGAAAAGCATAACAGTTGTAAATACAAACGAGCAGAATAATAGTATAAATCTTCCACACTAAGACATATTTTAATTAGTGACATTAAAAAAAACTCCGCACTTAAACGCGGTGTCCATGTACTCAGTTAAACTTATGACAAATTGGAAAAAAGTTTTCATGTGACGCGTTTCGTCCTTTAGGACGTCATCAGACTAAAGTGATATTCGTATTGACACATGCGTACGAAGGAGAGGTGATGCTGAGAATTTTAAATTATCTTTTAGATATATATTTTGGGTATATTTCATTCAGTTTATTTTTCTTTGTGTTTCCATCACTTTTGTTATTAAATATAACATCTAAGAGACCTCTTTCTGCTTTTCATCATCATGGCTGATGCTAACCTCCAGGAGAGTAACTCGTTACGTCTTCTTGGGCTAACGTTATCAGCTAACATAAAGTGGAAAGACTATATTGAATCCATTGCTAGGTAAGCTGCTAAGAATGTTAGTTCATTGCGTTGCGCCAAACAATTTCTCTCGCCAGAATCTATTTTGCACATCTATAAGTCTATCATTTGTCCATGCTTTTAATATTGCTGCCACGTGGTCCGGTGCTCCTACTATATATTTAGAGATCCTTGATAAAATCCAAAGAAGAATCAGCAATATTATTGGTCCTGATCTGGCGTTTCGGCTTCAGTTACTTTTCCACCGTAAAGTTGCATCTCATTTATTTTCTATAAATAGTTTCATGGCAGTTGTTCAGATGAGCTCTTTACTATATTACCAAGATTTTATGAATTTAAGCGCAGTACTAGACTGACGACGTGGTCTCATCAGTTTACAGTTGAGTCGGCTAGATGCAACCGTAAGTTCTATACTAACAGTTTCTTCTCTCGTACTACCGCTTGCGGAAGTCTCTTCTGGCTTCTTGCTTTCTAGTCATCTTTAATCTTCAAAAATTTAAATGTAATGTCAGTCGCTATCGTCTTTCTGATTCTTCTTCTTTTGCTTTCGCTCCTTAGTAATGTTTCTGTTTTCTAATTCTTCAACACCCAGTAACTCCTTATGTCTTAGCGGCTTGTCTGCCTTGCTTCAGGGGAACTCGATTAAAAAAAATAACAGAATATAATATTGTGATAATAGAAAATCTGCCAAGAAAGGTGAAATGTTGTAATAACCTAAAATTGCTCTTGATATATAAAAAATTGTACATCGTTTTACCACTTAGTATATATAAAAATAATTCAATATTTGCTTGTAAAGAATCTCTGTGTGTGATTTTATGATAATTATCTTTTAGAAATTGTGTACATCGTAACTCATCTTGATCACGTAAATTTTAAAGGTCGGACCATTCACAGACTTGTCTTGTATATGAATATACACGGTAAATAAGAATTCATCCATTTTGGTTGTCATTTATCTGAGATGAAAAGCTGAAAATACTCCAATGCGCGTCGCGTGTTTGTGTTTCTAAACAGAAAGATCAACTCACCAATGACGCGGTCTCCATATCCCATATGAGGAGGGACAGTTAATTTTCGAATTTCTCCGACGCACATGTTTTGCAAACCTTCTTCCCAGCCACGGATCACGGCAGCGGCACCTAGTTGGAACTTAAATGGTTCTGGGTGGTTGCGGCTGAAGAATTAATAATAATAATAATAATAATAATAATAATAATAATAACAGCAACAACAACAACAACAATAACAATAATAATAATAACAGCAACAACAACAATAACAATAATAATAATAACAGCAACAACAACAACAACAACAACAATAACAATAATAATAATAATAAAGAAATAAAGGAACTACTAGTCAACTCGTAAAAAATAAGCAAAAGTATTTCGGAAATAATTTTCGTAGCATTTTCGTTAGACTTTCCTTTTCCTTTTCCTTTTCCATTTACCAGAATCGAAAAATATTGATTTTTTTTTAGATTTAGAAAGGGGAATCCTGTTTATAATATCAATACATGACGTGTACAGAGTTATTGAACTTTTTGCCTTTTTTACAAAAGATTTTTTTTAAAAATAACGCACAAGCAAAAAAAACAAACAAAAAAACCAAAAAAAAGAAACTTGGTTCTGTTCATTGTGAAGAAGGAAAAGAAAGAATGACAGATTGTATCTGACTGACAATGGATTAAAAAAATAATTTTAAAAAATGACAAAAACAAAAATAACAGGACTGAAGAAGTTATGGAATTTGAAGATGTTCGTTGTATTCATCATTAGTACGATTGATAAGTCCCAAAAGCCTTACAAAAGTTTTGAAGAATTTGAAATTCAAGTAAGAATTGAAAATATCCAGCTAGATACGGTGTGCATGGTCTAGAAAGATATTTCTAGACCATGCCCACCGCATCTAGAAACTCAGATGAACACTGCCATTTAAACATTCCCTACCGCATAACAAAGAGTCTACCGATAGAAGACAACGATCGTGCTTTCACTCCCGAGGCCAATATACTGATGATGAGGGGTTTCTGCTGATGACATAGGTATTCATAGTTGGGATAAGAATGATCTTGAATAGAAAATCAGCATCTTCTATGCTATGGGGTCCACCCCTTTTTCATACAAGTGGACTCGACCAGTGTGTACTTATACTGCTGCCGGTGAATACCCGGAAGAAAGAGAGAGATACACTGATACAGTGATACAGTGATAGAGTGAGGTAACCGCTTTGTAGGAGTTGCAGTTGCGAGCACGTAGATTCAGAAGGAAGTCATACTTCGATACTGAATTTCCCAGACTGTATATATATTATTATTGCTACTAACCGCATTTCTGGATCTACTAACCTTATTACCAATTGTATTATTACGTCAATACATTTATTTGCTATATTTCATTCCTGCGTTTGTCATTCATTTTGAGACCGGATTTCATCCCGGAATCCACAACAAATTGGCGACGAAGATTCGAACTCACACGGGAAGAAAAGACAACAAAAAATTTTCCCTCGTCGTACACAACAAATTGGCGACGAAGATTCGAACTCACACGGGAAGAAAAGACAACAAAAATTTTTCCCTCGTCGTCCACAGCGAATTGGCGGCGAAGATTTGAACTCACACGGGAAGAACAAACAACAAATAATTTTCCCTCGTCGTCCACACCAAATTGCAGACGAGCGATTCGAACTCACACGAGAAGAAGAAATAGAAAAATCCTCCCCTCGTCCACAACAAATTGAAGACGAGCGATTTGAACTCACACAGGAAGAACAAACAACAACAAAAAATTTCCCTCGTCGTCCACAACAAATTAGCGACAAAGAGTTACGAGAAGTAAAAATACGTAAAATTGAGTTATGGAAGATTTTAAAAATATTTTGGTAGAAATGGTAAAATAACAAAATGATCAATAGCCAATTAAGTATACGAGAAAAAAATTGAACATAGAATAGGCTATGTCAGAAGTAGTTTCACTCAACACCGCAAATTTCTACGAAACTAAAACTTCCATCTGAAAGCTCGAGTCATGTTTTAAGTAACCTCGTTGGATCGAGACTTTCATATGGATATTATGCATGTCTTCAAACCCGTTCAGGAATATCTAAACTGTCATTTGTATAAAACCGCTTTCTAAGATCAATGATGAAAAAAGGTTTTGAGCGAGTAAAACCTGAGGATCTTGGCAAAAATCATCCTGCTTTGAACATTGTGGACTGGCGCTACAGAATCACGAAGAACTGTACCAAATAACAGAAACCGCATCACTTGAGGACTACCAACAGCAGCAACTTTTAAAATGGATAGCACATGTAAGTCGAAGAGAAAATAACGTCATAATCAACATGTTAACATTCCACACCAGTTCAATTAGAAAGTTAGGAAGAAAACTCCCGTTAATACTAGAAAGAGTGATAACGGCTACTGGACTCGAGAAACCTGTTTTCCTAAAAAATGTATTTTAAGGGAAAGATTCTTTTTATAAATTTCAACCGAAATCAGTAATAGCTGCTCGACCAATGAATTCCAGATGTTTCCTTGTAAGGAAACAACTAATATTACCATTACCATTACGATAAGCAGTTGAGGCTTACTGTCACTTGATTCCCAGTTAAATCTACCGAATATTATAGTGTGAAAAAGAAGGATAAAAAGAAAACATATCAGACTGTAGATTTAACAGTTTCGGCAGATCACAGAGTAAATCTAAAAGGATGAAAAAAGATGGATGGATGTCCCGATCTTGCAAGAAAACTGAAGAATTTGCAGAATATGATATTGAATGCCGTACCACTCGTCATTGGAGCACTGGAAAAGGTCGTGAAAGGCTTGGAAAAAGGCTGGAAATGAAATGAAGAGTTGGAACCAAGCTGACAGCAACTAAGATGTTGGAATATTGGGGAAACTTGGGGACACTTATAAATCTTCAGTGCAAGCTATTAGTTACCAATTGTGTGAACGCTCAAAGAGTTGTTGTTACTACTACTACTACTAATAATAATAATAATAACCCTATTATAATTGTGCTTGTACTCCCTTCGTGAGTTTGCGCGACAGTTATGCCCTGTTAAATAAGTGAGAAAAAGAAAGAAAAAAGAAAGAAATATTTAACATATCATGTCAACACCTCTTAAATAATGGACTATTCCGTTTTGATTGGGTGGAAAGAGGGGGAAAGATACTACTTGGTTTCAGTGAGAAAATGAATGAATGAAAGAAAGGAAGGAAGGAAGGAAAGAAGGAAGGAAGGAAGGAAGGAAGGAAGGAAGGAAGGAAGGCGTTTGTTTCAGTGGAATGGAAACAGTTGTCAATTTCAAATCTTTTCATTTGTACCCACTTCTTAAAATAACGACCAACATTCATATTTATGATTGTTACTGTAATATTTTATTAAAGTTGTTAAGCTCAATTATTTAATGATGCGATATGGGAATTTCTACGGATATTTTATTGTGAAGAACTCGCCATAAGCTTATTCAGTCATTAACTTAAGAATTAATATTCATCAAAATATTAAAATAAGAAAACCGTGAAATTTTCAAGAGTTAAAACAAATAATAATAAACAATAATAATGGCTACAGTCGGGCTCATAATAATCGATGAGATCAAATCAAAACTATAAAATACTCCATCGGAAAGCTTAACAATATAAATTTATAAAATCATCTAAGAATCTAAAAGCGTTAACAGTTCAAAGAAGATTTTTCTAATTTCGGCATTTAAAGCGTGTAAACTATGAAACTGACGGATGAATTGCATCCAGGTGTGTCTTTGTTTACAAATTACTGTTCTAAAGATTATATCTTAGATGTTGGTCTAATTTTTAAAGATTCTTTATTTGATTAGTGGAAAATCAAATAAAGACAAGTTTGAAACTTGCAGAAGCAAAAGGACACTACATGGTTTTGCATTTAAGTCATTCTCAGTTTTTGATACCAGAAAGCTAAAACGAACACCTGTTTAAAATATGAACAAGTCACAAGGCCTGTGAGGCTTTTTATCTGATTTGTGAAAAGAATACACAAAGGTGTATGAATCTGGCCGGGCAACTTACAGTACTGTAGAACACACTAAACCAACACATACGTAAAAAAATATGAAGAAACAAAAGTAATTACTTTTCTAGAAAAAGAAGAAGAAATTTTAACTTGAATTTCATTGAGGAAAAAAGGAGAAGAAGCGGAAATAGATCCTTCTTGAGTACACGAGGAAGAAAAAGAAAAAAGTAATTACAACTTGAGCTGCAGTGAAGAAAAAGTTCCTTCTTGAATTTCAGTGAAGTAAAAGAAAAAATAGTTACATATTAAGAAGAAGAAACGATTCCATCTTGAACTTCAGTGAAGAAAAAAGTACAAGAAAAATAAATTTTAAGTTGAATTTCAGTGGGAAAGAAAGAAGAAGCGAAAATAGCTCCTTCTTGAACTTACATGAGGAAGAAAAAGAAAAAATAGTTTAATCTTGAGCTTCAGTGAAGAAGAAAAAAAGAAGAAATAATTCCATCTTGAACTTCATTGAGGAAGAAAAAATAGTTCCATCTTCAGAGAAGAAGAAGAAATAGTTCCGGTATTATTTATCTTAACTTTCCTTTGTAATTTTTTGTGGGAACGTAGGGAGCTACATGCCAATGAAAAAAACTTACCTATTCAAATGTAGATATAAGTGTATGTCAAGACTGTCTTAGGTTTTTCAGAGCATTCCCACACTTCAACATTTTTCATTGACATATTCCCACATCTAACTGACATCTTCACACAAGCTCTTCATTACAGTTTGGGAAAATCTGATCTCAATGCTGGCATCGCATTATGAAAAGCAGTCATAAAATGACGATTTAAGAAACAAAACTCAAATCTACAGATCTTTTTTCTAGTACAAGATTAGAAACATTTTATGGTTGGTAAGTTTATATCTACATTTTTAATTGATGCAAACAAATAAATTGCAGAAAAAATATTTTTATTAAAATGATAAGCAATTAACCCCTGTCTTTGTTGTTCATCTTTATGTTCTGATTTTAGGGATTTAAAGCTTAACAATATAAATTTATAAAATCATCTAAGAATCTAAAAGCTTTAACAGTTTAAAGAAGATTTTTCTAATTTCTATTTGTTTATTGCTAAATTAACTTTTGATTGATTAATTGTTTTTTTATAGCTTATCAACCCTTTG